AAGCTGGGACCTGAGGGGCAGGGTGGGCCCGTGCTGCCTGCAGCTGGCCCAGGACGCTGCGGCCTGGCCTTCTCCTCCGCGAGCCATAAGTGGGGCAGGGAGGGGGTGTGATTTCTTGGTTAAAATCTAGGTTATTGGCAGTGACGTCGCTGGCATCATTGGGCGCTGGGCATGCTGGGAAGAGGGTAGTGGGGGAGGGGGCCATGGGGGTGAGCGGGCGAGCAGCCGCCCCCAGGGTGCTGGCCCCTCCCCCAGCTCCTTCCGTGCCTTGGCCTGGCCAGGTCCGGGGACACCCTCTCAGCCCCCACTGAGGCCGAGCAGCGTGGGGTCCCCAGCCCAAGGGTCCGGCTGGACTCGCTTTAGGCTGGAATGTTCTCAGGACTCCCTTCTCCTTTTGGCCTCAGTTTCCCCCCGTGCCGAGGGAGGGGGGTCTGTGAGCAGCACCCGCCAGAGGAAGCGTGGACACCGGTGACCCCACCTGCACCCTCAGCTCCTGGGGAACAGGTGGCAGTGCCCGTGTGGCCAGCCTCTCGCTTTGGAAATCGGGATGAAATACTGCAGAGCCGACTGCGCTGGAGCCGCAGCCCCGGCGTGTTCCCGCGTTGCCTGTTTTCGTCTGTTTCCCAGCATGCCCTGCGCCCGGTGATGCCAGTGACGCCATGTGCCAGGCCCCTTCGAAGGACGGGGTCCTGACGGGGGTGTTGATGGGCCGAGTGGGACTCCCCGCCCCCTCTCACAGGGTCCCCCTCCTCGCAAGGCGTAGCTGGGGGCCGGCCCCGCGGGGCTCAGGTCAGCCCTGCTCCATCCAGCTCCTGGGGCTTGAGAGCGGGTGGGTGCCCGCAGGTCGAGGCCGTGGGGGCTGGGTCAGTGTTGGTTTCGGGTGGGCGGGCATAGAGGGCGGGCACCCTGGTGCGGGTAGGGGTCTGCCCTGTGGGTTCCCGGCTCCCTGGGCAGGTCTGTGCTCACAGGCTGCGCGCAGCGGTGACAGATGGGGTGGCCCCTGCCCTTGCGTTGGGGAGACAGGCAGCAAATAGGACCCGGAACAAGTGTCTGGTTGGGTGGCCACGGTCACCCCAGCCGCCCCTGGCCCCGGGGGAGATGTAGGTGGGGAGGCGAACCGACGGGCCTGGTGGGTGGGTGTGGCACCACCCGGGCCCACCCGTGCAGAGGGTCCCCTCCTGTGTCTGACCACCTGCCTGGCCCAGCGTTCCCACGGCGCCTGGACTGCAGGGGCCCCGCCCACTCTGCCCCAGCAGATGTTGGAACCAGAGGCAGATGTTGCCCGAGGAAGCCTGAGAACAGGCCCCTCCTCTTTAGGAACCACGGCTGCCGCGTTAATCCTTCCCGGGGACCCCCTGGGGCTGTGCGTGTGCCAGGAGGCTCCTGCTGCCGTGACCTGAGCCCCGTGTGGTCTCCCTCCGGGTCGTCCCTGTTCCCGCCCTCCCCGTGCCCCCGTGTGGGCAGCAGGAGGCAGGAGAGTGTGCGAGCCCTGCCCGGCCCGGCCCCTCTCTGTGCAACCTACAAGGCCATGCTGCCACCTCTGACCTTACAGATGAAGCCAAGGTTTGAGGGAAGGGGGTGGAGAGGGGAGCCCACAGCTGTGGTCCCTCCAGCGGGGCCTCCTGCCTGCTCTGCCCAAGGCTGGGAACTCAGGGGCTGTCCCACAAAGAAGGGCCTAGAAGGCGGATTTGTTCTTGAATCATCCCGCTCCCCACCACCCCACACTGCCTCCTGGCCTGTGAGCCCAGCAGCCTCTGGTGGAGCCTGGGGAGCAGGGGGGTGTGTGCCCCTGGCCTGGGGCCTCTGGTGGGATGTAACTTCCTTTTGAAATAACACGCTGGCAGCCCCTCTGGGTGAAGGAGGTGCCAGTCCCTTTGTGTCCGTCCCACCAGGCACCCAGGAGGCTGCCCTGAGGGCGGCGGGCACCCCAGGGGCCATGGGGGCTCGTCCCTGAGAGCCTCCAGGGGTGGCCTCCCGGGTGCCTGGGCCTCAGCCGCTGCTGCCAGGACACAGGTGCCCTCACAGCTGAGCAGCATCACCTTAACCCTCAGACCCCGGACGCCCTGCGAGTCCTTAACCGATTAGCTGAGGTGCAGCTTACACACTTCGTGGGATCGGTGAACAGAGAACCCCTGCGCCCTGGGGAGAGGCCCCGTTGGCACATCAGAGGGGGGGTGTTTCCGTGGCCCCAGACACTCCACCCCCGGCTCACCCCCCTCCCACCCGCCCGGCAGCTGGGCCTGCTCTCCCTCACGCCGGTCCTCTGGCTGTTCTAGAACGTCCCGTAAGCGAAGTCTGGCTTCTTTCATCAGCAGAGTGCGTCTCAGACTCAGTGCGGGGTGGGTCAGTCCTGCCTTTTTTCTCCCTTTTGTTTATGAACGTGTTTATATGCCGTTCAATGTGCCAATTTCAAAGGTGCCGGTGACGCTGTTGGCAGCTGTAATCAATTCAGCGTCCCAGTCAGTCAAGACACAGAAGGCTTGACTGCCCCCAAAAGTTTCCCGGGTACCCCCACCCCCCGCCTTCCCCCTCCCCACTCTGCCACGGCAGGATTGCCTTTTCTAGAGTCTGTGAGCGAGAGTAGACAGCAGGGTCTCATATTTACTGTATCTTGAGATTCGTCGTGTGGCCTAAGGGTGGGTCCTCGGAGCTCTCGGCTGGGGGTGTGCCACTGGTGGCAGACGCGTGGGTAGCTTCCAGGGGGGACTGTTGTCACCACCCCTCAGGTGCCCCCCAGGGCGGGGCTGCTGTGACCACTGTGTGCAGGTGGCATTGCCGGGCCACACGAGAGGCGCATGTTTAACTCCTCGCTGCCAAACAGCTCACTGGTTCTCTTTTCTGTTTAGTCAGGAAAGAGGTTTGCATTTCATCAGATGTTTTCTGTTCATCTGTGGAAATGATGGTGTGGGTTTCCGCCTCAATTCTGCGAAGGGGGTGCCTTGCATCAGCCCATTTTCAACTGTCGAACCATCCCTGCATTCCTGGGGCAAACCCCATGGGTCACTGTGCGTCAGTGTTGTCCCTGCGTGTGTGCAGCTGGATTCAGCTCGTTCACATTTTCTTGAGGAATTTGCATCTGTGTCCGTGAAGGTGAATTAT